TACGCTATAGTGTAGTCAGCTTGGGAAAATGGTCTCAAGGGCTTTCTTTCAATTCCACAGCAGTTGCTGCAGATTGCAAGAGGCAGGCAGAGGCTAGGGCAGGCCATAGATGGATCCCCGCATCTGTGTGTGCTGGGGCTGTGTCATCCATTCCACTGCTGGGCCCTGGGCCCCGGTCATGAGGAAAATTGCAAGGGGTCAAAGGATTCTTCTGGAAAGGGAAGGAGGGATGTGGGGGCTGTTTTCCTTTCGGCCATGCTTTTGCAAAGCTCCCTCAGGGTAAAAGGGAGACGCCAGAGGCAAAGTAAAGAAGACTCTGGAAGGCGGGCAGACCTCCGCAGCGCCGTGCGAATCTGACCCCCGCAGATCTGAATCGTCTTACTTTATTTTACTTTCTTACCTTTTTGTTCATTTCTGTACAGTAGTTGATTTCCCCCTCAGGTGCAGTCCCCATAAATCTCCCATCACCACCTCACCTGTAATAGGTCACCTCAGTGCCCTGCGCTCTCCATCCCCTGTCTTAACCCCTCTCTCCCCTCCCCGCCGTGTACCTCAGATCTATAATTTGCCTGCCATGTTGTCTCTTATTTCTTCTCTGAGCCTGTTCGGTTGCCCTATATTCCTCCTATATAAAAAAAAAGGTCTGACTCTCCCAGGCAGTGATGGGGCAGGAGGCTAGGCTGGAGGAGGCAGGATAGCCGACTGGCTCCCCGCCCCGCCCAGGGTGTCCCGGATGTGACCTCTGTGGGGACCAGAGTGCACCCCCATTCCCCACACAACCCCCACACAAGCTCTGGTTGTGTGTCCAGAATGGAGACGGGTGCCCTGCTAGGGTCGCCCCCCTGAACAGGCCGTAGAGACCCCCTTCCAGCTGGATGTGATGGCTGTTTGCCCAGCTGGAGTCATCACAGCAGCGGGCCCAGCTTCCAGCTGACGCCTGGCACCTGCAGTCACACGGGCCGCTGCAGAGGGTTGGCCAGGCCCTGCGCGGGGCAAAGAGGAGCAGACACTGGCAGAGGTGCTCTGGTGCTTAAAGGGGAAGCAGTTAGACTTGGGTGACCATCGTGAACCCCAACTCCATTGAAAAGGAGAAGAAATGGCCTCATTCTCTCCTGCTACTTTCAGACCCCCCAACCTCACCCCACCATTTTGTCCATGATAAAGTGAGACTTTCAAGAACAGTAGTGGCAGATTAGAGCATAAGAATAAAAAAGTGAGTCTGTCACATACACCTTATTTGGGTCAAACAAAAACTTATAAAGGGAGTAAAAAAAAATCACCTTCGAATATTCCAGAAGGCACCTGTGTCCATTTGTGCTCTCTTCATCTGCTTCCAGCCTTCCTCCCACCCAGCCCAGGCTGGAGAGCCCCGGGGAGGGAGCCGCCCCGTGCCCAGCTCGCTCACTGTCTCTCCTCCTCCTGGGCAGGTGGGTGGCAGGCCCCTGGAGCCCCTGCTCGGCGACCTGCGAGAAGGGCGCCCAGCACCGGGAGGTGACCTGCGTGTACCAGCTGCAGAACGGCACCCACGTCACCACGCGGCCCCTCTACTGCCAGGGGCCCCGGCCAGCGCCCGTGCAGAGCTGCGAAGGTCAGGACTGCCTGTCCATCTGGGAGGCATCCGAGTGGTCACAGGTGCGTGTCTGGCCTGCCACTGCCACCAAAGTCGTCACCAGGGTCTCGAGGCAAGGCCCGGGGACACCAGCGTCATACCTTCATGCCCACATGACACATGCCCACATGGCATGGTCCTTCTAACCCGGCTCCTGCTCACAGAGTCTTAAATTCCCTCTGAGAGAGCAGCATGACCAGAGAAAATGGATGGTATAATTTTGATGATATATTTATGTATCAGTGAAGAATATTTATTTGATTGCATTTCCTAAGAAAATTCTTATGCAAGTATGAATGGATGGATGGATGGGTAGATGGATGAATGGAGAATGGGTGGATGAATGAATGGATGGATGGATGAGTGGATGGGTGGATGGATGGGTGGAGGATGGATGGATGGGTGGGTGGATGGGTGGATGGATGGGTAGAGGATGGATGGATGGATGGGTGGATGGGTGGGTGGATGGGTGGATGGATGGGTGGAGGATGGATGGATGGGTGGGTAGATGGGTGGATGGATGGGTGGAGGATGGATGGATGGGTGGGTGGATGGGTGGATGGATGGGTGGAGGATGGATGGATGGGCGGGTAGATGGGTGGATGG